GTCGAAATCTCAACTGATCCTTATCTGCTTTTTATCAAAATTTTTGTGGATTTCTTGTATAAAAATGCAATATCTAATAAGATTCTTATACGAGTCACAGCGGGAATCTGATAAGTTCTTTATGAGATTTCTGTCAGATTCTTTTGTAAGAATCGATCATCAGACTGTTCACGTGTATATGCGCATGACCTTTTATTATCATAGAGATTGTGATCCATTTTTCGTCTCTCTGTTTTCATTCTCTTTTTTCCATTTCGTCTGTTCGAGTTAAGATCATGCACCTATTCATTCATCTATTGCTTTTTCGTCCAGTTTTGATCACTATTATTCGATATTGCATCAGTCTTATTTCTCTCTATTTTTTTCTTTTGTCTTTGTTCTATAAGAAAGCATACATTTTGATATGATTAGTTGAGTGCATACAGGGTTAGTCAGTTTACGGACCAGTTATTTTTCTCCTTGCTTCATGTTATTCATCCATATGTATTTTTACTATTATTCTTAAATATAACAGATATATTAGATTGGCACTTTGTCTAGTTTTGGTTCTTGAGAGAGTTTCTTGTCTCATTTGACTGGAAAACCCGGGCGTAACGACTAGTCGAAGTCTAGAGTGATGATATGAGTGATGAAAAAGAAAGTAAACTATTATATGATCTTAGGTCTTGTACTAATCGAAGATCAGCGAAAAATCCCCAGTTGAACGATTTTTTGGGGTCGGAATTTGATGGCAGAGCATGTTGGTTTCTTCTTTTGACCGATTAAAAAGTGTTATATTCGCGATAACTCCCAACACACTAAACTTGACTTTTTAAATTTCTTCGATTTCGGTTTTTCCGTTCTTCGACCAATTTTTTCATCCATATAATATTCCAAAGGCAGATTTGTTGGCTCCACTGGACACGGTTGTCGTGAACTGATTCTTCTAGCAGTTGGTAAAATCTGACATACTTCTTTAACGGACGTAGTACATGAAAATCCTATTGTGTATGCGCAGTATATTTGATATCCATATTTTGGTGTTGCTACACACCAGCATAGTCTTTTCCGTTTTTATGTAAAAACGGACAAAAAATTGCTAAAAATGCTCTCAAAGTCACTTTGAAAAAATGTTTGAGTTAATAAAAAAATGAGTCATGATTGATGTAAAAGTGACAAAAACTACCTAAAACGAAGCGTTAAGTGCCTAAGGAATGACAAAAATTTATCCTCAAAGAAAGATTTTATTGTTCTGGAGACAGTACATATTTTCTGGCACTTTTTAGAAATTCTTTTACTCATCGTTAACTCCTTCTAAATCTCTCTTATTGAAGGCCTTTTTTGGTCACTTCTAAATTATTTTCTCGGATTTGTTCAATAATAAGACTTTCAGCTCAAGTTCACAGTGTTTATATTTGGGAGCAAGTGCAGCAACTCAAAAAACTTGGGGAATTTATTGCCCCTACAAATGATGAAAATTTCAGGTAGAAACACCAGTATTGATTCGATAATTTCGGTCATCTCACTGGTTCATTGACTCTCACGGGAAGTTAAGTTAGTGGTAGTATATTCTATCAATAACCCTCTTATCATGATTTCAGACTCTGAAATGCGGCGATGTAGTTTTGTCTACTGATCTCTAATATGTTTTTAATTTTGCCTGCAAGTACATGGAAAGTGAGAAAGTCGCAAAATAAATGAAATGGCATCCTCAGCGAAAGTTCTTGAAGCCAAGAAAGCAAGATCTTGGGACATTTCTTGGTCAAGAAATGATTCTTGAGCTTTCTTGTGCATTTCTTGCGGTACGTATCAGTGAGAATACGTTTCTTCTAGGTTCAATAAAATCAACAATCGTTCATTGAAGATCACATCCTACAAACATGATATCAGCGCATAGAATGTGCGAAATTTCATTTATCATTTTGGTCGCGGGACCAAGTCTGCTAAATGGTTTTCTCACGATGAAAAGTGCTAATTATTAAAATTAGCGTTTCGGTAACTATGAGTTTTTCCTAAAATGTATGGGTTGTATTCGATGCGAAAACAAATTCTGACCATATTTTGTTCCAGCCATAGCTATCTCGGATGCTTCCTTGATTAGATAAATTCTAATTATTCATTTTTCAAAAGCTCGAGATTTTTTCCTCTTGCTGACACTAGTAAAAGAGAGGAAGATAGCGAAGCCGGATAGCTGAGTGGTAAGGTCCGGGACTCTGAATATTATATCTCACTGTATTCCGAGTTCGAATCTGAGTCCTGACATTTTATTTTTTTACTTTTTCTTGCTAAAACGTTTTATCACAGCAAGAAATACATTTCTTGAGTAAGAAGATAAAAAATTGTTTCTTGCACAAGAAATGACAAGACCTTGGGACATTCTTGCCCCAAGATCTTGCTATTTTTTGGGCCCCAGAAATTTCGCTAGGGTTGGGGTTAGGGTGAGTGTGAAGTCTTCTTGACAATATTTTATCTATGGATCTTTCCCCCAAAGGTTTTATTACTATATTTTTACATGATTATACCAGATACTAACCACAGAAGTTATAGTAGAATGGATGACCTTTGGTTGCTCACCCTTAGTTTCTCTGAATTTCAGAGAAACTAAGTGATCTAGAAACAACTAACGAGGGAGGCCCACCAACTTCAAAAGCGTTTGCAGGCCAAAATCCAGCTGATGGTAGCTTATCGATGGTTCTGAATCCAAATATCACCATGAGATCGGCTGCTAGCCCACCAGAGACTGGTTTGTGAAAAACCAGTTTTCCAGAAGCCTCTAAATTCCCCAAAACTTTTTCTAAATACACCACGATTGTAGCCCGTGAAATTACGATCAAAATGAAACATCTCCCAGCTCTACACGACCTTTCTTTGCAAAGTTATAGAATTTACAGGATGAGCTCTAAATTCCTTTTTCTTTCTGTAGCTCTGAGGTGACAACAAACATTCAGGGCTTGTCTTGTAAATTCTATAACTTTACAAAGAAAGATCGTGTAGAGCTAGAAGATGTCTCATTTTGATCCTAATTTCAGGATTCAGGATCGTCCATAACCTATGATCCACTAGATCTTGGATCGCAAACGATTTTCAAGTTGGTGGACTTCCCTCGTTAGTGATCCAACAGGACTATTTATGCATCGAGCCTGTTGCACACAATACCTAGTATTTTAAATAAGTAGTCTTTTAATCTTAACATATCTAAGTCTAACGGCAGTCTTTTTTCTTATCTATATATGAAGAAATTGACTAAAAGACAGACTACTGTTTGTTTTTCTTCTTTGACTTAACAAGATAAAAGATATAGTACATAAACGTTTTATCTTTGTAATCAGACAAAAAATCGTATAAACATAATGGCGTACTGCAACAATTGTCAGTCGTTGATGGCTTGTTCATTGAATAAAAATAGTCTTTTTCTTTTCAACAACATCGTATCGTTTTTCATCGCTCTTATAAATACTGTACAGCTCACAAACAATTCTATATTTCTTTCAATACAAGCGTTTTCTGTCTAGTAGGTCAATATTTAAGGGCAATTGTCATTAGGTAAGTCATTTATAGAGTCTAGTAGAATAACTTAAATTTCTTCTCTTTTGTCTTGTTGAGCAATCTCGTCAGCTACTTTCATACTTTTGCTCAAGCAAAGACGTTTAAGTTACAAAAATGTTATTATGTTTAATATTCATTACTCGAACTATTACATCAAGCGGAATATTCTTATCTCAAAGTACAGGCCCAGAAGCCTCAAGAGTAATAATCTTTTTTATCACAGGCGTGTACATCTGTAGAATAATATGTTTCTTTTCTTTTCTAATATGTTCCCTTGGGCTGAAGGAGCAAAAATGCTAAATGTGAGGCAAAATAAGCTATTTTAACGGTTCAAAAAGGCCTTTCTCAAATAGAAAATACGGAAATATTCGGAAGTTGACTTATAATCGAATCGCTAACAAGTCGACTTGATTGAACAGGAAGTGGAAAACGGTTGGGGCTTTAAGTGAGAGAAAAGGCTTTTTGTTCTAAAAAGTTGCTTCTAACAATTATTTTATGTAGTTGCAAATACGTAAGGTCAAAGTACTTGTAACAATATGTATTTTAGGTCTAAAGTTAGATTAGACCTAAAAGTATTGACAAAATGTAGGAGAATCGGTTCTCATGTGTCTGGAGACGCATTTTGAATCAGACAAAAAGATCAGGTTTAAATTAGTTGAGATTTGTACAACATCAATTAGAGATTTGATGCTTGAGAGAATACGTATGTGACGCTGTAATCCATCAGTCTAAGCGATTAAGTTGCAAATGGTTCTATTCGAAGTGATACTCAAACTTTTCTTAATTTATGTCGATAATCCTCTTTTCATGTTTAGTAAATAATACATCGCGAGTTCAAACATGAATGGGGCTCTGATTTTTCTTCTATTTGTATGTTTAATTAATTTGTGTGCTGGTTATGAATTGGAAAATTCAAATCATTTTACAATTCATTCCACTTTTCTTACGTTTGGTCGAGATTATTCAGTCATAACAGATGAAAAGAACGACAATAGTACAAACTATAATATTCGTTATAAATGGGCAGAAAATGCTGGCAAAACGTTGACAATCGAAAATAATAAACAAGAAGTGATCTATGAAATGCGACATCGCCTTCTGCATTATCGCGCACATTGGGATATCACAAATGAAAATGGTAAACTTGTTGGCGAATTCAAACACAAATTTTCAGCATTGCATCACAATTTCGATATCATTACACCCAGTGGAACGTACAATGTTCGAAGTGAATCTCTGTTGTCACATGAATTCAAGATGACAAAAGATGGTAAACTGGTAGCAACAATCAGTAAAGAATGGTTCACATTCGGTGGTACTTATCATCTTGATGTTGTTAAGACAGAAGATCCTGCTTTCGTCATTGTGATTACGATCTGTATAGACGAAACTATAAACCATTAATGAGCAATTTTTCTTTCTTTTAAATACGAACTTATGACAAACTAAAAAAGTTTTTTGTTAATTTTGATCTAAATGAACGAAATAATTGAATAAAAAAGCAAAGGAATTTAATGAATACTGCAAGTAGAGTTTATGCCAGTTCTTTTTAGTTAGATAGATCATATACTATTTATACGCGATATGAGGCATGATGGATAATCGAACTGCCCTGAGGCACTATGTGATCTAGTCAGAATTCTAATTTCCAGCTTGATACCATTGCGTTCAGTCTGAATCTGTTTCTGAGAATATTAGATTTGAGTCAACAGCAATGCAAACAATCATCCTTATATTTTGCCGTTAAATGAGAATGCACCACTTGTTAATGATACTTGTTCAACAGTTCGGGCAAATACCTGAAATTCGACTAAAAAAGGCATACACACAAAAAAATAGTATAAAAAGTTAGTATACTAAATAGTATAAGCTGATAAGATAGCTATATTTTTCTGTTGTTTTCTCTTGATTCCAAATAGGGATGAGGATTTATTAGAAAGAGAAGAAAGAAAATTGAGTAACACATTCACACACACTCAAGCTCCTTATGGTAGAATATAGAACAAAGAAAAAAGTATCGTTAGGATAAAGCAAATATTACCTTTATTAAGTAATCTTTATTCTAATACCGTCTATCTTAGTTATAGTTACAATACTGATTTATAAGATGCACGTAATGCAAACTTAAAGTGAAATTTATTTTTGGATATATTATACATACTCTGAATTGCCAGACGACAATGATTACGAATATCACCCTTTTAGCCTAGAGAAATCCTTTCTTAATTGAAAAAAATCGGAAACACTGAAAATACCCGAAAAGTGCAAAATTTTTCGTTTTGAGAAAAAGCTCTGAATTTTTTCGTTAAGAGTATCTACGAATTTTTGCTTGTCATTTACAAATTCCTTATTGAAAACGGAGTTTAGACAACTTATGCGCGAGTCCATGTACCCTAATACAGATCTTTTGTGGCCCGGAACCTGTTACACTCAAAATCCGAGTGCCTTTGTTCAAAAACCTATCTAGTTTTTTGTGTGAAGACCTAGAGCTTTGATTCGACCACCATCAAATTGGCCAGTGCTTCAGCTTCAAAAGCACGGTTTGTTTTTTAAAAGATTTTTTCCTTGCTGAGAAAATTAACTTTTTCTAAATCAAAGGCGAAAAACTCGAAATTCTACCCGTATTTCTCAATTTTTTCGATCAAAACTCAACTTCTGAGCAATACAAATATCATACTCAGAATCAGGATCAAAACGTGAGTCGACTGATGAGTATTTCTATCGTGTCTGACTACTTTCATTTTTTTCGAATTTTCACATTGAAAAATTACCGAGACCCAAAAATGAGAATCAACTAAAAATTGCGAAATACACATCAATCGACTCACTTTTTGATTCTGATTCTGAATATGATATTTGTATTGCTCAGAAGGTGAGTTTTGATAGAGAAAATTGAGAAATATGGGCAGAATTCCGAGTCAAGGCAGTCAAAATAGTCGTTCTTCTAAAGTTACCTAAAGTAAATATACATAAACAATAAAATAAAATAACGTTAATAAAAATAAAAAGTAAAAAGAAGGACCGATGAAAAACCCTTTGAAAAGTCAACGTTTGAAACTTATGCTTTTTTATTTGTACTTTATTCTCGGTTGTTTTCTTAAACCATATCCCGAGTTTTTTGTTCTCTATCGGTTACTCTACTTTATCCTTATTGCTAACCAGTTCTTTTTCTTCGGTGTTAGTAATGTAAAATTATTTTCCGCTTCTCGATTCCATCCATCGCTTAATAGTTGATTTCCACTGTGAACTTATGCTCTTACATCTATTATATCCATTATTAGCTATTGTTTCTAACTTTTTTCTCCCCTACCAATGTTTATCTTTATCAAAAATAACACTATGTTCTCTGTCTTTTCCATTTTTGTTTTTGTTTTCTCTACTTTTATTAATTTTCTGTAAAACATTTTCCACTACTCTTTCCCTAGTCGAAAGTCCCGGCAGAAGTCCCGCGGGAGTCTCGATGGATTCCCGCGGGACTCCCTCGGAAGTTTTTTTTCTCAGTGTTTTATTTCCAAAAGTGTTTAATTTTAAGCATGCTGTTATGTTATTATATGGTTGATCCCTACCAACTGTTGAATATACAACGGTCCGTTGCTTACAAATACAAGCATAAACAAACTAAAGTCTCATTCGAACTCTGAATGGATAATATAGTAGCTTAAATACTTTCTACAAAATGAGAGATGATTTGCCTTTGGAAACTGATTCCATACGAAAAGATATATTTTACAAATAGAATAAAAGATCAGTCTTGAAGCTATTCTTACTTGGGATGTTCGATTCTCAGTTCCGGAACCGCAATGACGGTTCCAGTTCTCGAGTTAGAACCGAACCGAAAAGAACCGCGGTTCCGATTCCCGACTTAGAAGAGAACCGCGGTTCTCAATTCTCAGCTTAGAACCGGAGAAGAATTTTTCAGGCAGTAACAATTCAACAAAATAAAATTCATTTTATTGTAAACCAAAGGATTCTTTTAAATAATGGCAGGCAAACAGATCTTTTTGCAGCTTTATCAATAGTGTGTTTTCATTTTGTTAAAAGAAAGGCAAGACAGAAACATAAGACAGAAAAGAATGAATTACTGTTTTCTTTTGCACTTCATAAAGACATACAAATTTGATCGTCCGTTCACAGTCGTGCTTTTTCGTTCAATGCTGTACTTTTCTATCGTCTGATCTTAACAGTTGCAAGACCAGAAGTTACGGCCAGTATAAAGACATAATAATACTTATCTAATAAGAGTCGATGGGTTCGCCAGGTATAGAAGATCTCGTGTAAAAGAAGTTGTGCATAAGTATACATTATGAACGCTAAATAGAGCTTTCTCAAAATAAAACTGTAGTAAGTTATCTATCGTTAAAAAAGTCTCGGCTCCAAAAGAAAGGAGCCGCCTACAAACCGCGGTTCCGGTTCTCGATGAAGAACCGAGGTTCCGATTCTTAACGAGAACCGAACATCCCTAATTCTTACACGACATCAAATTCACTTATTGGAAAAAAAATGAATATTTGAAAGTTTTTTACTTCAAGATTTATCTACACAAAAATAATTTTCTTTCATTCAATCTTCTATGAACTTCATTTGAATAAAATATAATTTTGGCCAGATTATATCCAGTGAATGAAATAGTCGGCGTTGTCCAGCAGTCTGTTTTAATAATACTTATGGATTAATGCATAAATCAGAACTTTCAGTTTTCCTTCAAGAACTAGCTAAAAAGCAACTGTTAATATTCTTTTTTCGAATGCCCAGGCGATAAAAAAGCGTTAGAAACGTCACGGAAACGCGTTTTTCTCGAACGCGTTAGCTAACGATCGTTAAAAGGACCGTTTAAACGCATTTTTCAAAACTTTAGAATAAAACGCCGTTCAACAACGCACTTTTTCACGGACATTGAATTAACCGTTTTTGTTGAACGCGTTTATTTTATATAAAAACGAGTTTTAACGTGTCGTTTCTAAACGCGTTTAGATCAGGGAAAAAGTTATATCATGTTAACGTCATTAGCAAACGCGTTCAACAAAAATGCCAGAAAACGGTTAATTCAACGATGGTTGACAAACTCGTTGTTGAAGGACACGTTATTCTAAGTAGCATTCATAAGATCTTCTTTTGAGTTTTGTTGCCTTACTGTCTTTTTTATGTAAGTTCGAGACATCGTAAAAAGTTTGAGTGATATCTTATATTAGTGAGACACTGTCTTATATAGGCAATCAAACATAATGACGTCAAGGAGAAAGGTAGTCAGTTACTCAGCATGGCAACACAGCTTGACCAAAAACAACGCTCACAACCGCTTTCGTTTATACTGATTAATAAGCTTCATAAACATCGATAATCATTTAGCCTAAAATATCAACTATCAGACATTAAAAATAGCCGTAATGTACGTGACTCTATCCTGCAAAGACAATTTTCTATTGATATCATATTGTATGTGTCCTTCAGAGGAGACATATATTGGATAATTTGGTGTTATCTTGCGTAGTTCTCATGATTTTCAGATGATTGTTTTTGCATTCAATAGAGGAGATGCTTGTCTATGCCATAGACAGAAGATTTTATCAAAGTTTTTAGTCTCAAGGTGTCATAAGTAATTTTAAAATTAATTTAGCACATAAAATATATTCAAATTAATATTCTATATAGTG